TCCCTTCAGTTCATGGTTGAGGTGGACGCCTTGGACGTGGGCGTCGGCGCCTGCCTCTCCCAGCGCTCTCCCAAGGATAACAGACTTCACCCCTCCGCCTTATTCTCCCGCCGTCTGTCCCCCACCAAACGTAATTACACCGTGGGGGACCAAGAACTGCTGGCTATTAAGCTGGCCCTGGAGGAGTGGAGGCACTGGCTAGAGGGGGCTGAACACCCTTTTCTAGTCCTGACAGATCACAAAAATCTTTCCTATATCCAGACCGCTAAAAGACTAAACTCCCGCCAGTCCCGGTGGGCCCTGTTCTTCAATAGGTTAAATTTCTCCCTCTCCTACTGTCCTGGGTCCCGAAACACTAAACCAGACACTCTCTCCTGACTCTATTCCAGGACACTCCCCCGAACACCATCCTGCCCCACATCTGCCTCATCGCCTCTGTGGTCTGGGAGGTGGAGTCCGCGCCCAGTCCACTGAACCCGGTCCCGGCCTCGAGCCCCCTAATCGCCTCTACGTTCCATCGAGCGTCCGCTCTCTGGTTCTCCAGTGAGCGCACGCCTCGAGATTCAGTTGCCACCCCGGGATGGCCCGCACCCTCTGCCTACTTCGCCAGCGGTTCTGGTGGCCCTCCATGGATAAGGACTGTCGGTCCTTTGTGGCCGCCTGTGAGGTGTGCACCCGCGCCAAATCCTCCCATCAGCCACCCGCCGGTCTGCTCCGCCCCCTCCCGGTCCCCGGTCGCCCCTGGTCCCATATCGCCTTAGACTTCGTCACCGGTCTCCCCAAATCCAACGGAAACACTGTTCATCCTCAGCATCGTCGACCGTTTCTCTAAGTCCGCCCACTTTGTCCCCCTACCCAAACTCCCCACTTCCTTGGAGACCGCCCGCCTCCTCATCAACCATGTCTTCCGTCTGCATGGCATCCCGCTAGACATAGTCTCCGACCAGGGTCCTCAGTTCACATCCCAGGTCTGGAGAGCCTTCTGCCGCGCCTTTGGCGCCACCGCCCTGTCGCGGTGACAGCCCGGCTGTTGGTGAGTGTCCTGTTTCTCCTTTCCCTCGCATTCTGGTTTCTCCTGTGCCTTCTCTCTCTCTCTCTCTGTGTGCTCTCTCCCTCTCTGCTCTGGAGCCCGTCTGGCTACCCATACCTGCACCTTGTTAACCTCCATCCCCGGCCGCCGCACCTGCCAGCCGTCAGCCTCATCACGACCAGTATTTCTACCCCGGCTTTCCACTCCATCCTCGCTCGATCGTCGCAGCTCCTGACTTGGTGTCACCGCTTCATTCTGGCTCTTTTGAAATTTCCCTTTGTTTCACGTCCTAGTTACCTACTAACTCTGTCTGTCTGTTTCCTCCTGCCAGGTTCACTCACCTCTGCCTCCCAGTTCGGCCAGCTGGGCTTGCTCGCCAGCCTCTTCCTCTCGCCGCCTCCACGACGCCCTCTGGCTTCCCCCCTTGCAACCCGCCGGGTCCCCAGTCACCGCGTCCTCTCCTCCACGTCCGCCTGCCTCCCTCGAACGTCCAGCCTAAGCACCTTCCGCTCCTCCAGCTACTCGGTCCCCCGGGTCCTCGTCTACCACTCCTTCTTTCCTCCCGTCCCTCCTCGTCCCCCTTTTTCCTCAATAAACCTCTTTTTCAAACCCTCAGCGTTGCATTTGGGTCCGTTCTGTCTCCTACCGTTACATCATCCAATACAACCACAATTGGCCCCACTGTCAATTCAAGGAATCTCTGTTCTGGATAGAAAATGCACTAACCACTTTATTAGAAATTGTTTTACTGAATACCTTTACCCTGAAAGACAAAATAAAAAACAACATTTTACAAAAATTTGATAAAGACTCAATTACTAAACTAAGAACATTATATCTATCACTCCCTATACCCCCCAAAGTGAAAGAAACACATTTCAAAGTAATGAACAACATTTACCCCTCTAAAGAATTACTAAGACTTCGCTTTGGTATAAATGACAACACATGCACATTTTGTGAAAGTGATATCGAAACTACGGACCATGTGTTTTTCTCATGCAATGTGATATATTTTTTACTTATCCTATTCTGTAGAAACAAATTCTGGGCAGCCGTGTTTGTCTGTAAATCTTGATACTTCCAATAAAAAAAAAAAAAAGAAAGAGAACGCGTTAAAAAGCCAGGAAAATGCAGTGCGCTAGCGTACACAGCAGGGTGTTCAGGGGGTCACCAGGAAGCAGCCCTGTAGTAGTATTTATTTATTTTTATTACAAGAATTATATGGTTACAGCTCACATTTTCATAAGGAAAAAAAAACAGTGAAAAAAATATAAAAAAACAATTATAAACAACAAAAATAAAGTATACAGCCAGAGTATCAAACAAAAAATATCAGTTAAATTAATTATAAAGTTAAATTAGATAAATATAAACATCAAAAATAAACATTTTGATGCTGATTTACCCTTTAATCCAGAAATACGACTATATAATTTTTTAAGTCAAATTTAAAAACATTGAAAAGAGGTTTGTTCTTCATAAATTTTGATTTATGAATAATTAATTTTCCAAACAAAATTAATAGATTGACTATATATTGTACAGAGGAGTTTGAATCAGAAAAATAAAATAAAATGTCAAAATTGGATAAGTGTACGTTTGAGTGTCCATTAACGAAGCATTGCATATCATTCCACAGAGAAGAGCTATGTAACAGCTATAGAATAAATAGTCCAACGTTTCTGTTTCCAGAGAGCAGAAGGAGCATTTTTCGTCTACAGTAGGGATAAATTTCGAGATAATCTCGTTACAGGGGTAACAATGGTGAAGAATTTTAAATGACATTTCTTTAACTTTGTAATTAAAAATTTATGTGGGTTACTCCATGCTCTATTCCAATTAATATTTTCATCCAGGGGGGTCCATTTGTACCTGCATGCAGGGATAGATTTTGCACATAAAAGGTTCTTAATTACTTTGTTGTTGACTTTTCTGTCTAGAAAAGATAGACCATTTATTGAAACACTGCTGGAGAAAAATGCATTAATTTGATCCAAATCTTTTTCATCTCTAAGCAGGGTGATGATCCCATGGGGTATAGCTCTGGTTACAACGTCAAATTCTTTTCTTGGAGGATGGAAGTTAAATTTATGAGTGATGTCGTCATATGTTAAAATTTGATTTGAGTTATTTAACAGTTGGGATACCAGTACAATGTCATGTTTTAAACCAGTTTTGTATAAAGAGAGTCTTGCTTTCTATGTCTGATGTTCCTGTTGTTCCAGATCAAACATTTGTGAGGGGAGAAATTGTGTTTGTACAAAAGTGACCAACAAGTTAGAGCCTGTTTATGGAAGTTTGACAGTTTGATTGGCAGTCTGTTGATGGAGTATGGGCACTGAAGCAAGAATGTGCTTTTACCAACTTTTTCAAAGATAAAGTTTGGAACAATGTTCCACAAACTGTTTGGATTTTTCAAAAATCTTTTAAACCAGTTGATTTTTAATATCTCATTGAAAAGTGAGAAGTCAATTACCGATAAACCCCCTTCCTGAATTTTATTGGTCAAGATGTTTTTCCTGATTTTATGGGGCTTCTTCCTCCATATAAAGTTATATAATAGTTTGTCTAGATTGGCACATTGTAATTTAGTTATTTCTATAGATGTAAATAAATATGCTGCTTGTGAGAGACCTTCTGCTTTAGAAAGAAGAACCCTGCCATATGTAGATATATCTCTTGTAAGCCAAGAATCAAACTTTTTATTAATAGAGTCATACAGTAAAGAGAGATTACTCTTGTGTAACTTGTGATTATGACTGATTTTTACTCCAAAATAGGTTACTAAATTCTATATATTTATCCCACATATTTGACCTGAGTGCTTATTTTTAAGAGAAAACAGCTCACATTTTGATAGATTTAGATTCAAGCCTGAGCTTTCAGAGAATTTGTTCACAACCTTTAGTGCAATTCCTATTTGGGATCCATTTATTAGAAACAGGATTGTGATATTTTATTTCTCTTTAATTTAATGTAATTCCTTTTAATGAATCTTGTGAATTAGGTCACAAAGAGTTTGGGCTACAGTCACAAATGAAGAGGCGATGTGGGGCAGCCTTGGCGGATCCCTTTCTTTATGTAAAATCTAGGTGAGGTTCCATTCGCCAATTTAATACAACTGTTTCCTCCCATGTACAGAGTTTTCACATCATTAATAAAATTCTGATCAAAATTAAAAAATTTTAAGGTGTCAATAATAATTTGTGGCTTACCGTGTCAAAAGCTTTTTGAAAGTCTAAGAATAAGATAAGGTGTTCATCATCTAGAAAGTCTTTGTATTCCATCAGATCCAGAACTAAGCGAATGTTATTGGCTATGTGACGATCTTTCATGAAACCAGATCGGCATTCATCAATTAAAGTGTGTAATTTAGATTTGAGACGTTTTGCTAAGATAGATGCTAGAATCTTATAGTCATTATTTAGCAATGTAATGGGTCGCCAATTTTCAATTAATCGAGTCTTTGGGAGGTTTTGGAATAAGTGTTATGACGCCTTGCCTCAGAGAGGGAGGGAGTTCCCCTCTGTCCAGAGATTCTTTGAAGACAGCCAGAAGAAATTTACCTAATGACTCAATGAAACATTTATACATCTCAGAAGTCAGGCCATCACAGCCTGCTGATTTATTGTTCTTTAACTGAGTTATTCCCCAATTAATCTCCTCAATAGTTATGTCCTGACAGAAGCTTTTATTATATTCTTCATCCACACAGTTAGGTGAGTTAATAAGGTTAAAAATTTCATTTGGATCTTTGAGATTATTATCTTTTGAGTAAAGTTGTTCGTAGAAAGCACTTTTTTCCATGGTAAAGAAATATCTGCTGTTTTTCTCTCCCTGTTCCATCCAATTCCTACGTGACCTTATAAAAGCTCCTTTTGCTTTGTTCTCTGCAGGAGTATTTTATTGGTCCAAAACTTCTCTCATTTAAATCAGCGGAGTGGCTTCGTCCAGTAAGATACTCACTAAGCATGCGCACTAGAGACAAACTACTTTCGATTTTAGTCCTCTAACTTTGAAAGGGATAAAATGATTTAATCGTGCGGCTCTTCTAGACTTTCCAAATGCTTTCGGACCAAATGGATCACTTGTGATAGTGAAACGAGTTTTTTCGAGGGGAACTGTGACTGAAAAAGAAGTTTACTCTGTTCTTACAGTCGTTTCTTTCACAATGTCGTAGCTACGTCCTGGAAAGTTTTGCCAATAGAGGAGACATGTGGGAAAGATCTCTGAACAGGGATCACGACATACTATTTATGTACTATTTATGTAAACAATGGATCGGAATGTAGTTTTGAAAATATGAAGGTAGTCATCTTTGTGTTTACACTTTATTCGGTTGCAGTTTCCATCGTGCTCGGGACGAGACTGACAGTCAACAGCGGTAAGTCCCGTTAACGTGAGGCAGGAAATGGGATCCTACAAATAAAATAAGGAATAGTTCTGTTTTTTAATTTACTCTACTACTGCCTGCTGCAACTAAGTGACTAAAATAAATAGCTAATTTGTGTAAATATGTTTCAGACAGACAGATCTCGTCCAGGTTGGTCCAGGTTGCTTTTATTGACTTCCTAAAGAGAAAATTGTTTGGATGGAAGAACATTCAGCAGATGTTGACCTTTCTTGAATGTTGTTGCCTTTTGTGCTTTTAAACCCGAGGAAAGTAATAAATTAAAGAATCAACATTAGCATTGTAATGAATAATTACAGGAACAGAGAATAAATATCTGTCTGTCTGTGTGACTCTCAGAGACACATTCCCTATTTTACACCTACACGGCTTTCTCCAAACCTGTCGGACTCCCGGGCATCCACCAGTTCTCAGCCATGGGTCTGCTGGATGGCAGGATGATCGACTACTTTGACAGCGATCACCAGCAGAAAGTTCCCAAACAGGACTGGATGAAAGAGAGACTGCCTGCAGATTACTGGGACAAAGGAACACAGTCCCGCCTGAAAAAGCAGCAGAGTTTAAAAAACAACCTCGACATCCTGATGAAACGAATGAGACAGAGTGACTCAGGTAAGATCCATGAAATGTGAACTCTGTTTGGTCTCCTGTATTAAACAACGAGACAGGGGTGTGGTTAGTTTAATATCTGACATAGATGCAATGACAGAGCAAAGAACTAAATTTCTGTCCAACAACCCTGTCGCACTAGGCAGAGTTGGGGACCATCAACCCTTTGTAATTCAGTCCTTGGGAAAGCCCTTAACACCGTTATGATTGCCCTGATGGCTTGAATATTTACTTTTCAAGGTTCAACAGCTTGATCATTTATGGTTACATTAACATCAAACCGTACCGTACGTACATCCTCAGAGAGAAGCTAGCATAGCGTGCTCATTCATAACAAAGTTTTTAAAACTTATTGTTTGACCGCATTGGAAATCTTTTGTGTTTAATGCTGTCCTGAACATTAACACTCACAGGCAGGTTGAAAAGCCGGCTATCATAGATGGAGGGGTGGTATCGTTTAAATATGCTGAGAGTGGTGCACATTTTCAGACCATCTTTCCTGGAAGGCATTCATAATGTTTCACTCGGTTGTTTACTCGAAAAGTTACAGAAATAGTTGTGTAAAGAAAGAAAAAGCAGAGCTGAGAGAGAAGTTCAAACCCTGGCTCTTTACTCACCTTCACCCAGCGGACCAATCACAGCCTGAAGATGGTGTGACTGTTGGTTTCTTCAAAGAATGGTTGAACAGTTCCCAGTGACCATCGAATAGTATTTTTGCTTGAAATGCCCATCTTTGCTATTCCACCACCCAACAAGCAGTACACTGATCCCTTTATTTGTGTTCAGTGAAGTCAGTTTGCCCGTGTGTGTTGATGTACTAAACTGAATATGAACTGCCCCAATTAATATTTATCTGTGCTGTCAGTGTGCCATAAAATATTCATAATACATAAACTGTGCTGTTTTACTTATCTGGCCGTCTCTCTAGATTCAGACGTCCATGTTCTTCAATGGATGAGCGGCTGTGAGGGCGACATGCAGCCTGACGGCAGCATTACGTTTCACCGTGGTAAGGACATTTACAGCTACGATGGAAACGACTTCCTGTCCTTCGACGACACCAACAAAGTCTGGGTTGCTGTGACTGAAGCAGCCATCCGAACCAAGAGGAAGTGGAATAACCAGGTCCTAATAGAAGTCACCAGGCAGTACCTGGAGAACGAGTGCATGATTCGTTGAGCAAGTTTGTGGGATATGAGCAAACGCAGCTACAAACCGCCCGTATGTATTTTCTAGAAAATAATGAACTGGGCCTGTTTCCTGATAACAATTGTTTTCATTATTATATTGTTTCCATTTCTACATGTGTTTCCCAAAGCAGAAGCCCTTCTTAAGAGCGAGTGCACAGTAGCTTCTCGGCTCCACTTGAAAGTAAAATAATAATTAAATTAGTTTTGTACTTGAAGTTGTTCTGAATATGAAACTTAATGTGCAGTAAACATTTTATAGATTTGTAATTTATATAAACGTGTGGCAACAACAGAGGAGCCATAAACAAAAATAAACATGACGTCATGAAAACCAAGGTGGGTTCACATCAATGCAACTGGACTTTAAAGATACATGAAGATGTTTCGCCGCTGATCCAAGATGCTTCTTCAGTTCTTACTGGACTGATTTGATCTTAACCTTCCTTTGGTAACAGACTTTAATTCATTTGTAAAAGTCCTGCCCTCTAGCTTTAAATAAAACTTGTAGTTTGAGTTGGTTCGTTCTGCAAGTTCAGGATCTTCTTCCTGTGAGAGGGTAGGAGGCCTCTATCTTATCATCATCGTAGCCTTCAGATGCTTTCAGGTAACGGGGCCTTGGTTGTACATTTCTGTTTGGCCAACAGCAAACAACTTTGCTTTTTTTCTGTCCAGCTCCACCTGAGGTCTTCATGTTCTCAAAGAACACTGCAGTTGAGTCAAAGGTCATGTTGACGTGCCTGGCCACAGGTTTCTACCCAAAAGACATCATCCTGAACATCAAGAGAAACGGTCGTGTTCTAACTAAAGAGGACGGAGTGTTTTATTTTGGCGTTCGACCAAATGAAGACGACACCTTCCAGAGAAGAGACAGTGTGGAGATTTTAAGGAGCGACACGTCTACATTCACCTGTGAAGTGACTCATCCTGCATCCAGGTTACATGTTGAAAAGGAATGGGGTAAGAAACTTCTTCTTCTTTGGTTTTGGTATTTGGCTTGTTTAGTATTATTGCAGAAAGCATCTCATATGATTGACGTCACCTCTTCAGCAAAAGTTCTTCGTCTTCGCCTCAAAGAAGCCCCAAGACTCAAAAGATCGTTTGTGTTTATTTTAACTTTGATATTTTAACTTTGGCCTTCATGTCCGTCTGTTATGGTGACAAATTCAAATCAGGCAACACAACAACATTCCTATTAGAAAGGAGTTTGTTTTTGTTTCTCACCAGCACAAATTTAAATTCATGTTATTTAAATCTGACCAAACGAGTGTTGTCAACAACATCGGGTTTAAATCGTGTTAATATTTATTTTCCGCAGAATCTGTCCTGAAATGCACTCTCTCATGATCTCTTCTCCCCCGACAGCAAACGCTGCAGTGTCCACATAACTCCACCGCCATTTTCTCATCTTATTCGCTCTGGTTTATTTACGCGTCTTTCGTTCTTTGATTGGCTGGTACTCATCACATGTGATTGGATGCCGGCAAAGGATACAACAAGCCCAAATGCAAGCGACAGCAGAGTTCAGTTGATAGGAAAAGACTTTGACTAAAGTCAGAACTAATTTAACCAGGGACAGGGGTTGCAATTTAATCATGGCTAGAAACCTGCATGGCATCTACTTTAGCTGCATTTCAACCAAAGGAACTAAACCCCGGAACTAGGAACCTTTTGGAGGAACTCACTGCGTTTCCTCCAGAGGAACTTTGATGGGGGTGGAGCTTGCCTTCCAGTGAATTTCTGAATGGGCGAGTGGAGGCTACTGACTTTAATAGGTGCATGTCAGCTGTTTTTGTACTACTGCTCGTCTCTTTTCCACCTTTGTTTGCACACCAATAAATCACAATCAAATGTCATATAGCACACGTGTCTCGCCGATGTTCGCCTGAGATATATTGCTCAAAGATAACAGGCAGCGTGCAGCGGTGTGTTTACAGCTTACAGCTGATGGAGTTACACCAAGTACTGGGTCCTGAGTTGTTGTTTTAAGTTTTCATCAGTCAGGAAGTTTTTACACAGACCCGAAGTCGGTCTCTTTCTCTCCAAAACAAGCTGAACAGCTGATTACAGCTGGTAATAAAGCTCGTTAAAATCCTGTTCCTCCGACGCTCAGGCGACACAGAAGTGATGCTGCCGCTGGTCTGAAGCTCTTGTCGCTGGAAATGTTTTAATAACCTTCCAAACTGTTGCGATGTTGTTTTTCTGCTGCTTTCTCTGTGATGGAGTTATTTTAAGAACTTTATGGCTTTATCCAGTTTGTTATTAAATTTGTAACAAACTTTATCGTGTGTATATTATACTCTCCTACAAAAAAGCAGCTTTAATGGTCAAGCATAGGCTTCAGTTTTTCATTATATTCCAATCAAACCTGATCCTGACCTGTTCATTTATAAATTTTTCTCATGGATAGCGGTTACAAATAATGATGCCTGTGCATCGCTTTGTACAGCATGCAGGCCTACAGCCTACATCAGCTGGTTAATTTGCCTAATCTTCGCAGATCTTTAAACCACAGTGGAAACGCACTCAACAGCGGGCCGAAGGAACCTTTTAGTTTGGGGCCTTAAAAGTCCCGGGTAACTATGGTCGAAACGTGACTTTAGTATAAATTATAAAGTGATGTCCCATGCATTTGTCCCTGATAAAGAAAAAGTGGCTTACATTTGCTATATATGCCTGAGCAACTAGGGGTTAAGTGTCTTGCTCAGGGAAACACTGGTGGATGTGTCACAGTAGGGAATTGAACCCTGGTCTTTCACACCAAAGGTATGTGTCTTATCCACTACGTCATCATCACTCCCGTATATACTATTAACTTTACTTCATTTCTAAGATAAGTTGATTAGATTATTTAGTAATTAGATTCAGTAATTTAATCAAGGTTGTGTCAGTTTTCCACCCTGGTATCGAAATCAGAAATTCCAGTCTTGTGACAACACTAAACCAAATGCAGCAATACTGTCACTCAGCTTCTGCACGTTTGTATCAACTCTACAGTAAATTAAACCTAACTAATAGAAATGATGTTGAAAGTGAAGTGAATATAAAACTATTGTTTTCTGTGTTTTAGATCATAAACTACCTCCTGATGTACCTGGACAATCAACCATCCTTACTGTGGTGCTTACTGTGGTGCTGGCTGTTGTGGTGCTGGCCGTTGTGGTGCTGCTGGCTGTT